TTAAAAAAGAATTACTTGAGAACGTAATGATAATTTGACATGTTCAGCCGAAAAACAAAAGTTTTTAGCTGGAAAACAAAAAGGAGAAATCTTTTAGGTATAAGTCGATTACGGGTTGGGTACGGGTCGGGTACGGGTACACAGTTCTCGGGTCGGGTCGGGTACGAGTACAAAGTTGTCGGGTCGGGTCGGGTACGGGTGGAAAAAAAATTTTCGGGTCGGGTACGGGTACGAAAATGGTACCCGTGCACATCTCTACTCTATATCAAATTTTTTAATTTTCATTTTATATTGTTTAATTCTGTTATGTAATGATACAGTTTCACCTGTGTATAAATCACCACATTCACATGGTAACCCGTACACTGCAAATTCTCCAGTTTTTATACATTTTTCTTCACTAGTTTTATTTTTGTTTATATTGTTTAGAGCAACTATTTTGCCTTTATTAACCATATCACCTATACTAGGATTAAGTTTTGTACAGATTCTGACACCAAACTTTTTAAGGAAATGTCTTAATTCTTCTGTCAATTCATTTACATGAGGAATAACAATAACACTCTGTTTACTATTTTTCTCATTCTCAACCATTGTTCTATCCTCATTATTCTGTTTTCTCAACACTCGAAAAATTTTCTTAATCAAATTGTGTGGATAACCACTATTCGTCAACATATTTATAAGTATTTGCATGTCATTATCATTATGATTTCCATTATTTGCTATCAGAAATTTTTTAATCATATTTATAGCAATATTTTTCTTCATTGCTAGATTATGGTCAGACTCATAATGTAGCAAACGGTTACTTGCTGTTGGTTTTTTATACCATTTGTTTCTAAACATAACTTAGTTCCATTAAAATGGATTTGCACATCTAAGAAAGATATAGAATTACTTTTCTCGTTGCTAAAAATAATGATAACGACATGCAAATACTTATAAATATGTTGACGAATAGTAATTATCCACACAATTTGATTAAGAAAATTTTTCGAGTGGTGAGAAAACAGAATAATGAGGATAGAACAATAGTTGAGAACGAGAAAAATAGTAAACAGAGTGTTATTGTTATTCCTCATGTAAATGAATTGACAGAAGAATTAAGACATTTCCTTAAAAAGTTTGGTGTCAGAATCTGTACAAAACTTAATCCTAGTAGGTGATATGGTTAATAAAGGCAAAATAGTTGCTCTAAACAATATATACATATAAACTCAAAATACCTGCAAAAGCTGTTTTCACTGTTACATCACTTTATGGTCACTTTATAGAACATCAAAACCTGAGTCGAATGTGACCTAAGAATGCATATTTTGCTCAACAAATTACAACGCTATTTCTTTCACAACATCAAGTACTCACAGGCACGCGTACCTGCTCTGTCTATTACATGGATTGGATGAATCGCG